CTCTGAAAATAAGTATAATGCATTGCGATTTAAATCTATGTATATTAGTATTTTTGGTGTTAAACATTTTACGCCAATTATTGTACTTTCCGATACGATTTAACTTTTGATATCGTCCTCTGTGTGTTCGGTGTGTTCATCAAAAATAATTCTTTTTCTATTTAATAGGTAGTTTGGTATATGTGCTATTAAGTCGTTTTTATTGAATAATTGCTTATCGAATAACCTATTTGCCACATTACCGTTACTCAATACCATTTTGACCTTACTATTTCCGAGCACTAATACGTCTAACAGGTCTTCTTTCAAATTTGGAAATGACCTGTGAATCATTTTTCTAATCGGCATCAGATGTAACCGCCTGATGTTTATTTCTTGATTCGATGTAGATATAGTACGAACCTGTGTCGCAACTTTTAAATCGCAGTTGCATATCAACATTTTAATGATTGTTAGATTCGTTAACCGCTGTTATGTCCATCGATCCCGTAGCATAGACCACATTGTTTTCCATTGATATGATCTCATTATTGTTTTCCATTAATATAATCTCATTATTGTTAGGGCTACAGTTTACGTTATTTTCTATTAATTTATTTCGTCATTATGCATTATTATATTACTATGTTCGTTGCACTTAATAATTGTTTCTCCAGTCGTTTTTATCATATTTAACTCTTCATTAGTAACTTCTTAAATTATTCTGTTTATTCCACAATCACCATCGCTGCTATTATTGATACGCCTTTGCACACCACTTTTATTTACACGCATATTGGCCTTCATTTTTAAATTATTTCCAGGTTTAATTTTTGATATACCACTGCTTACTTTTTTACCCTAGATTTAACACTAATAACTTTTTGATTATACAATATAATTCTTCAATATAAAAAATTCTTCATTACTCTCGTTATCAGAGTAATACTTATTCATAGCCTCAGCTATTGTTGTACCTAATTCGGCGCATAAAAATATATTGATATCGGGCGGGCGACCCAATACCTGTCCACAAAGTTTGGACAAGGTCCATGATGCACCTTTCGAAGTCAACTACCGACTGTGAACAAATAGTTTCTTTTAGCATGAAATTTCATCTTTCATCTTTCTAACGCCACCTAGTAGAAACTCGATCGGACATATACAACGCAATTGAAACCAACTATTGCAAAAAAATGGATTTCTTTCTACCTCATCTAGTTATTACTTTGGTGCTAATAAATTTGTATTAAGTGGATATATGTATTAAGAAATATTTCTCAAGTCACCATAATTTGATTACAATTCGAATCTCAATCTCTAAATGAAAATAAAATATAAAGTTATTAAAGATAATAAAAATGCTCGTTCTTTTCTTTACTTTTAGTACTTTGTTATTATTCACAATATTATAAATTGATGACATATATATATATATATATATATATATATATATATATATATATATATATATATATATATATTGGCGTTTAATTAGAGTTTAATAGTTTGGAAGACGTAATGTATAACAAATAACATCTGTTACTGACGGTCTGAAATATGCTTTTTTGTTTGAGCTAAAAATTTTCGTCCAAAGATCAACCATTTTTGGCGGTAGGGTGCCTTTCCAATATTGAATTTGGTGATCGCAAATCATAAGCATAGATTTATGTTGATTTTGTATGCACAAGTCTCGACATTTATGCATCAATTTAATAGCTTCATTATCTTTACGTTTTACTTTTTTCAAGTAGGCCAACATCATACTAAATCGCATGCGTTCGCATTGTACTCTTTTAACCGATTTTGCTATTGCATTTTTCAATACTTTAATAATTTGTTTAGAACGATGTATTTCAGCAAAATCTTTACTTTGTACAGCTAGCGCCAATTTCGAAATAAAACCTTCTAGAACTTTTATCATCGATTTAGTATTGGCAATACCTTGGTAAGAGTTCAAATCAAATTTTTGACGTATTTTCCGTTCCCAAGTTGACATCGCTTCCCACTCGGAAATGCGTATACACCACAACCACATTGCCGAATAAAAAGCAAGTTCACTATCTGGATCTCTTGAGCACAAAAGTGATTCACATTCATCTGTATAGAATTCTTTGCTCTCAGTGTATGTTTCAATCGCATATCCTGTATCTAAAGCCATGTCTAAGCACAACGCATAATACCAGCACATTGCCGAATTATCAGAATCTTCTTTTGCTACATCTCTTAGAACCTCTAATAACTCTGCGGCTTCAGATAGGCGTATTCTTGCAATTAAAGAGTTAATTAGTAGGGGCAATACTTGTAATCTAATGCTGAATGGTTGTACACGGACTGATAAATTTTTAGTTTTATATCCCATATCAATAGCATTTATTAATTCACATCTTCCGAGGCGAGATATAAATATTCTATAATATACTCTGCATACTACATTCAAATCATTATTTACAAATCCAGTAACTTGCTTCTGACTAATCATGGCAAGGACATTTTTTTCCAGCCACCAAATAAATTCATGCCTTCCATAATATGTCGACACATCCATAAGGCTAAGGTAAGCCACACAGATAGTGTTGAAATCCTTATCAGATCTAATCGCCATAAGTAATGCCCAAGTAGCCGCTAAATCAGCTATATACCATATATTCAATGAAATAAACATCTCACACATTGAACATAAACATTCAGCTACAATATCACAAAATAAAGCAGAATAGTCTTCTAATTTTCCAATTTTGTGAGATGCACGATCCACAATTAATCTAAGCTGCATTCTTTTGAAGTGGGTCGACGTTACAACAGCCATTTTGGTTAAAGGAATATTATAACCAAAATTATTTAAAGCTTCATGTAGCTTTGTGTAAGCCTTTTCAATCTGTCCGAGATTTAGATAACACTTACCCAATAAAGAATTTATTTTTCCTAGTATAGTATTGTATTTCCATTCGATTTCACTACTCATGTCCGAATAATTATCATCTAATGCTTTGGCAGCTCTTGTAAGAAGAGCCATCGCTTGTATTAAATTTCCGGATGATATACAAACGACCGCAAACTCAACGTAAACATCCATTATAATATCATGCATTTCTGCTCCCTTACAATGATCAAGCATTTCGCCGTACATTGACATTAGTATAAGAGAACACTCACAATTATTAAAATCAAAGCTAGGAAAAGTTTCAACAGCCGTCTGCGCAGTCTGCCTCGATTTTCGTCTAACGAAACCCCATAAATTACCGGATACCTTTATTTATCACCGTAAAACTTATTCCAAGCAATTTCATCAAGATTATCAATTTGACTATATATTTCTTTGTGAACAAACGCGGAGAGCTTTGACGTTCTTCTCTTGCATTGTGCATATGATATTTGTGCCCGTTTCGACAATATCCGTCGAGAATGCAATCTATCTGCTAAACGGCCTCCCAGAATTTTAAGAAAGAAACCACCACCACAACTTCTGCATCGTTTAGTTTCTCGTTCTAAAAAATTGAAAGCGCGTTTATGAGAATCTTTTCTTTGTCGATCAGTCATTATGCTATAAATTGTCTCACGAAAAGCTGGCATTCTAAACATCATATATTCGCAATATGCAAAACTTGGTAACTCAGGCGCCAAAATTTTAATATTTTCACAATAACATATTAATTTATCATGTTCACTACTTGATCTAGAAGCAGAATCCCCACTTGCGCAATACAAGACCTTTATTTCAAATAACTTTTTAATTGAACTTGCTAAAGCATATTCATCATCATTATCTACAACATACTTTAATATCTCTCTGTGAAATGATTCTCCTATTACTGCTCCAATTTTACAGATCAATTGTTCGAAAACATTCAGCGAATCAAAGTTCATTAGAATAAGGAGATCCATGCCAACATCAGTGATGAACATTTCCATTTTGAAATTTGGAGGCAGTAAAACTACTGAAATAAAATGTACTCCATAGCTTGTAGTATCTTCCCTATTTTCAATTTCTACGTCACTTGTCCGAAATGTGCCGTTATACATCTCCCAACCAAACGAAACACGGCTCAAACCAAAACCAATACTATCCAATTTTTCAAAATGTCCTGTGTAGACTGTCTTATCATCTGCTCCGATGGTGGTATGACGAGACCCTGTGATATTACTTCTCTTTCTCTTATAGTTTGTAAGTTTAATCCACCTGATTGGATAAGTGATAACATAAAACTTTCAATCCAACCGGGATTTCCACCACTATGTGTTTGTATTATTTTTTCTAGCTCTAAAGGAATTGCAGATACTTCGAGCATTTGGCATGCAAGAGCAGCATGATACCAATTATCAACTTTGGGCATTTTTACTGTTACGACCCGTGGGTGATTTAATACACTAGCCGCTAGATCAGATATATCTCTACGGTTTCCCAAAGTCCCAGTGCAAAAAAAAGCATTACTTTCAAATATATTGATAAAAAGCATCAATGATTCTTCATCCATATATTCTAAATTATCAATAATTAAAACCCACAGTGATGAAGATATAGAGAGAATTAAATGTTTGAATAGTGCAATTCGAACTTCATTCTTCTTATCATATGGTAAATTAAGAAATATGTTTGACATTTCAAAATTAACGTTGAATACCTCATTCAACGAACATAATAATTCATTCACTTTTATCTTCGCTAACAATTTAAAAATTTGTGTTTCGCGCTGCTTAGCAGTTTCTTTTGGATAGATACCCAAAATTCCACCGACGGATAAAAAAATTGCAGAAAATGGTACTTTTTGATTTTGAGGAAACAAATTTATCCTTCTTGAGTTATATTTTTGTGGCGTTAAGTAAAATAATTCATCTAATAATCTCGTTTTGCCCTGCCTTGCAGCCCCTTTGTATATTAATACATTTTGGATAATAACATCTGGATCCCATTTATATTGAACTTGCTTATACACTTCAGTGTATCGCAAGAGAACATCAAAGTAATGCCTCATTAAGTAATCGCAACCAAGAATCGGAAATTTACACAGTTCGATTCTGGTTGAGTCTTCATCTCTTATTATTTCATTAAATGCATATACAGGTCCTACAGCATGTAATCCTTTTAGTTCTTTATGTCTTAATAACGTGAAGTTTCTTGATTCCATCTTACTTAATATGAATGTATCTTTATCACAACAAACCATATCTGGGTAGGCAACCATGAGTCTTGCTGCTTTATTCACTACCATACCAATGACGCTGTATTCTCTGCGCAATGTGTGACCTACCACACCACAATATGACATACCCGTTGTAACTGCAACTGATACAGACTTTTGATCTTTAAACTGTGAAATGCGTTTACGAATTTCTGCCCCTGCTCTTAAAGCTGTTTGATTCTGAAATTCTTTTATAAATCCTCGCAAGCCAAAAATTACTACCATCATTAAATCTTTGTCAAATAAGGATGCTTTGTTTACAATTCCACCTTCAAATTCGTTAATTATATCGCAAATTGTAACATAACATTGGTGGGTCAGATTTATCAATCTTTTGCTGGGGTGCATACTTACAGGCACTATATTTATAAACATGATAACAACTTGCCGCATTTCCGTTAAGTGGTCCATAGGCTGGTTGTTATCTATCGCATTCATAACGGGAGGAAGCACAAAACGTCGTAGTCCATCCCTAACTTCAGATCTGGTTGCTGAATGAACTGCTGGCCGTATCATAAATCGATCTGTATCTAAATCTCGTCTGGTTTCAGTAGTGTCTATAATAATATCCGTTGTTTGATCCGCTTGATCATCATCATCTACTCCGCTTGTTCGTTGAGCGCCGGTAGCATGCCAAAGTGAACCGAACCCCATAACACTACAATGTTTATTATCTTTTTTAAATTCGTGAACATATTCACTTGGATTCACATATTGCCAAGCAGATGGCGAACAAACAACCTCACCTGCACTGCTTAGCTTTTCGGCATTTTTTGCATCCCACACAGGTTGTCCAGCTATTAAGTAATGTGATTCTTTTTCCGTTCCTATCAAAGCTATTTCAACCTTTCCTGCAGAAATCGCTAACTTCACCCGCAATGTCACGCCCACCTCAGTTGCATATTGACCATATCTCTTCTGAATAATTAATGCTGAATCCATCCCTTCGTGGACGGCCTCTTGCATAGGAAGACTTTTACGAACTTTCCAAAAAGCTAGAAAAGCGTCTCCCGAAAATTTAAAAATATCACCTCCGTGAGATAGAATTTCCTGTACCATAGATCCAATATATGTATTCAATACCTGGGTTAATCTGGATGGGCCCCCGTTACCGGGTTGGTTATATTTTTCTGAGAGATCAGTAAAACCTGATACATCACTAAATAATAAACATATTTCATAAGAGCGATGAGAATAATCATTAAGATGATATATTATATCATCTGGTACAAAAGATGCAATGATTTTATTCTGTGCATCTTGTAGTGTTGTGGAATTCCCAAAAACATTTGCAATACTGCGACTCACTTTAGATACGGGTATTTTCTTCCTTTCTTTAGGTAATTTGATGCCTATAACATAGTTTTCATCATTTTCTGAATCATCGTGAATAGCAACTCCGCCTATTTCCGAAAGGTATCGATTAAAATCTATACGAGAAACCGATTTTTTCCCTTTTAGTAAAGACATTTTTCAATATGATGTATTTATTGTTTATGAATTTATTATCGATGCTCATTTGCATTATGAAAATGTGTAACTACATGAATAGAGCAAATACTATCGAAATAGCTAAATAAAATTTATATGAAAATAAATCATAAACTTTACCAGATTTAAATAATGAGAATTCGGCGACATAGATGGCGTTGATAAAAAAGATTACATAACTAATTATCATTAGAATGAATGAATTTAATGTACGCTATAACCGAATTAAGACCATCATGGTAAGTAACTCAAAAGTATAATTATTATGTAAATTTGAATGTCCACAATAAATAATATGTTAGTTTCTTACAGTGCCCATTTAAAATGTCATTCAAAATTCAACTGAAAATTGACATTGTTAGTCTATGATACAACTGACGACTGAAAAAAGTTTTGATGTCCTACCCTACGGGCGGTCTTTTCGTTGTTGTCATGCTAAACAAATTAATTGATAAAGATGAAATATATGAAATTAAAGATTAGCACGTATTTTGACATCTGGAATCACACTTCAAATAAAACAAAATATATCTAAAATATTATTAGCATTATGTTTTCATTATATGCAGTAATAAAATTTTTTTGATATTTCACCGACTCCTTGGTCAAAATAACTGCATTATTAAGTTCAATTGCAGGGCATGTTTGATTGCAAATCGTGAATATTACATGGATAGATTTTGTGCTGTTGACTTCTATATGCGAAAACCATTTCTCAGCTATGCTGAGATGTTGCTGAACATTGCTTGATGCTGTCGATGGATCTTTGTTTTTGCCGATGATACACGTATCATGTTTTGTCAGTTGAGATTGGAAAATCTGCTGTATAGATAAGAATAATGTTGGGGCGACAATGCTCTCTTAAGTCACCCCGGCGTTTATGCCAGTGATATTTGAGTCTGTATTACAGCTACACTGATCAAAAAATGTCTATTTCGTAAATAAAATTTTATTAATAGAAATAAAATATCAGGTAGACATCTTTTTACTTTATACATTAGGCCTGTGTGCCAGACCTTGACAAATACCTTCATGAGATCTAAGAATGCATAACTCTTTTCTATGTAGTATATTATAAATTATGTTCACAATCCTATGTAATAACCTTGTTGTTAACCCGTATTGATGGTTTGGAGTTAGATCCTGATCTTGCAGGATTACTTTGATTCGCCAAAAAATCAGTTTTTCAAACAGTTCTGAAATACAAGGCAACAAACTGATCGGCCTATAAGATGAAACGAGGTGGGGGTCTTATCCTGGTTTCAGAATTAGGATGACTTGCTGTTTTCCATCCCTGGCAAAAGAGTTGAAAATTATTTTTATCATTCTAAACGTTTAATAGCATGGGTTACAGGCAACGGCGTGTACTGTAGAAACTTATCAATAACCATCATTTTCGTCGCATTTGTTTAAGTAAGACTGAAAAGTGAGGTGTAAATGTTCAGCGAATTCTGTCAGTTTTTTTCAGGACTCCTTGCCCAAGAACTATCTGATTTTCTTATTGGTGAAACGAGTATAGCAACTCGTTTTAGTTTTTTGGTCAGTCTCCAGAGAGAACTAGCTGTAAGTGCAATTCTGTCTTAAGGCAATTAAGGCATCGTGCCTTAAGGCAAATTGCTGGAACTTCCCGTACCAAAAATTATTTTTTTTTTAAAAACAATTAACATTTTTGAAAAAATGTTACTTCGAAAAAATTTGATTTTTGAAAATTACCTGCCTTCGCCAAAAACTAATCAGCACGTCTCCTTACCAATACGAATCGAATGTTTTTTGAATTATTCAAATCGGTTGATTCGTGTTCCCGAAATCGTCGACGAAAATTTGTATCCGAACATACACATCACGCACACACATACAGACACACACACACACACACACACATACATCCATTTTTTCTAAGGTATGCCAAAATGTTCAGAAGGTTTTGAAACGTAAAGATATATAAAAAATTTCATTTTCGATTTTTTTTGCGATTACTATAACTTGCCCTACGGGAAGTTAATAATTTATATCATTGCTCCTGAAATATTGATATTCGAAATAATCATTAACTTCCCGTAGGGCAAGTTATAGTAATCGCAAAAAAATCAAAAATAATTTTTTTTATATATCTTTACGTTTCAGAGGTTTCTGAACATTTTGGCATATCTTAGAAAAAATGGGATGTATGTGTGTGTATGTGTGTGTGTGTATGTATGTATGTATGTATGTATGTGCGGATACAAATTTTCGTCGATGATTTCGGGAACACGAATAAACCCGATTTGAATAATTCAAAAAACATTCGATTCGTATTGATAAGGAGACGTGCTGATTAGTTTTTGGCAAAGGCAGGTCTAGCCGTTCCGAAGATACGGGGCAAAAAGTGCCGAAAACGGTAATTCAGTTTTTAAGAGAACGGAGCGTCCGATTTGAATAATTCAAAAAACATTTCACTTGTATTGACAAGATGAAGAATCAATAAAATTTTCATGAAGGTAGGTCTAGCGGTTTCGGAGATATGGAGGAAAAAATAAAAAAAATGAGCCATTTGGCGGTCAAAAATGATCATTAGACATATGCACAGTGCTGGATTTACAATAGGGGCAGTCGGGGCTACTGCCCAGGGCGGCAGTTTTTCGGGGGCGGCAAAATTTTGATAAAGAGAATAAAAATGCTATACAATGTAATTAACTATTTTTTTAATAACATTCAAGAAATATAATTAACAAAACATAATACGATTGCAATGCAAAATTTGGGTTCAAACAGCCAATTATTAAAATTTATTATTTTGCTTTGCCTCCCTCTCCGAACGTGAATTATCAAATTGGTTAATAAGTTATTATCAAATTTGGCAAGTTGGATAATATAAAGTTTCGTAAACGAGCTGAAGGTTTAAGAAAAATATGTTCTTCAAATTTCCAGCCCTCTTAGGACGACAAATTTGTGCACTTCCAAGCTAATAGCGCCGAAAAAATTTAAACTAATGACGCATGGCATTGTTCCATTAATTATTGCAAATAACTAGAATTTCTCATACTGAAAATTACATTGTATAAAGAGCTTTAAAATTTTTAGAAAAATGAAAAAAAAGCCCTTTTAAAAACTTTTTTTTATATGTATATTGAAATTTTTGAAAATTATGAACTTTTCTCAAAGCAATCGCACTGCGTAGCCGTTTCAGAGAGGAAATTCGAAACTCAATTTCCATTTTCCGAAACGGCTGGACCTGTTTGTGCCAAAAACTAATCAGCACGTCTCCCCATCAATACAAATCTAATATTTTTTTAATTATTCAAGTCGATTTCGAGAACACGGATCAACCGATTCGAATGATTCGATTTCTATTGATAAGGAGACGTGCTGATTAGTTATTGGCCAAGGCAGGTCCAACTGTTTTGAAGATACGGACCAAAATGCCAAAAACGGTAATTCCGTCTTTGAGAAACGGAGCGTCCAATATCGTTAAAAAAAATTGACATATATTGACAAAATGAGCGATTGTTTTTAAAAAAGTTCAATATTTCAAAATATAAAAAAACTCAAAATTTTTTAATTTTTCAGTTTTCAATTTTTTTTTATTTTAATTTTAATTTTTGGTACAGGAATAATATATAAAAACAATTTAAGTACAATTTCAGGGATGGGGCGGCATTTTTGTCAGTGCCCCAGGGCGCCAAAATTCTAAATCCGGCCCTGCATATGCACATCAAATTATCAGATATTTTATAGATATTTTAACAATAAGTATACATTTTGTTAACGTTCCTATGGGTTCCGTACCAATGCTTATGCGTTAGACAGCGACGCGGCGCTTACGCGCTTTATATTTGGTCCCTATGCAATTAAAGCAGTACGATTGCTTTGAAAAGAAAGTTCAGATCTTCCACAATATGTCAAAATAAAAAAAAAAAAAATTTTCAAACAAAAAAATTAATTTTTTTTTTTTTTTTAAATTTTTTTTTCAAAAAATAGTAATTTTTTGTCCAATTTATAGTTCATCAAAAATCTTATTTTTTCAAAGTATTTTTTTTTCAAAAATGGTAATCGTATTTAAAAAAATAATAATTTTTGGTACGGAAAGTTCCAGCAATTTGCCTTAAGGCACGATGCCTTAATTTCCTTAAGACAAAATTCCACTTACAGCTAGTTTTTGTAATTTATTAATGAAGATTAGAGATCCCTGCACGCTTTGTTGAATTTTTATTGTTTGTCTTCGGGTAATTTGCCACTTTTCTTTTATGTGCTATAGTTTTTTTAATGTCAATTGGTAGGAGGGAGTGAATGTGAGAGTGTAACAGCCGTGGAGTTGGGTCTCTCGATAAATATAAATCGAATATTCGGTAAATCATTCAAATCGGTTGATTTGTGCTCTATGAATCGTGGAAGAAAAATTGTATCTTAATATACATACATGCACATTTTACACACATATAGAAACACATACAGATACATCATTTTTTTTAAGATACGCCGAAATCTTCAGAAATTTTTGAAACGTTAAGATATGCAAAAAATTTCATTTTCGATTTTTCACGATACAAGCACATTTTACACACATAGAAACACATACACATACATCATTTTTTTAAGATACGCCGAAATCTTCAGAAATTTTTGAAACGTTAAGATATGCAAAAAATTTCATTTTCGATTTTTTACGATTACTAGAAATTTAAATATTAGAAGATATTAATTAATAATTAAAAAATATATATAATAAATTAAGATTGGTTTATAAGTACACCCGAGTTGCTGAAGGACCTTATAATGTTAGAAACAATTGCAAATCATTTAATTTTGTAGAAATTGAAAAGTTAATTATTTTTGACTAAATAGTTAAATAAAATAAGAACACTCGCCTAATATATACTTTCTAATAAAAGTATGAAATAAATTGAAGTAAATTTTCTACAAATTCTAAAAAACGGTTCGGCTGATTGTCAAGCAAAAGTATACAACCCGAGATTTTTTTCTAGTTTTATCGATTCGATTCG